AGGTGAATACAATTAATGAACTCTTTATTGCTGAACTTGAATTCTTTGCAATTTTTCACTGTTAAAGCCCAATGGTGCAGATATAGGTATAGTCTTTAGGTATAGTCTGTCTTCTCTGCTATAAGACATCCTCAGGTGACACAAGAGCAGAATCCCTGATGGATAGGTATAAATATTTTTGTGGTCTTTGACAAGGGGTTAACATAGGCTTTCCAAAAGCATCGTTCCAATATAATGTTGCAAGCAAAGGGTCCATTGGCAAGAAGTTGGGATTTTTATCATTTAAATTTTTTATATTCTCTAGTTTTTAAATGGCACAAAAAACTTTACTGGGTATTGAACATGATTAAATATTTGTATACAATGTGTAATGTTTACAACTATTACCTCAAACACATTTTTCTTTGAGGTGAAAACATTTACAATTCTTCAAGACTTTTTGAGATCAGGAGAGTGATAAATAATCAAAGCAGCATCTGCAGAAGGCTAATCCTGCATTCACTCTGTAGGAAGTTTAAGCCATGGTTTTGAATGGGTCCTTTCATTTTTAATCAACTTCTGTTCTTAATCTTAGAAGTATTCAATATTAATTTCCAAAATGACAAATAATTAACCATAAAAACTGATTTAGGTGTTATTATGAGAATATTATACTAATACCATTTTTCAGCTTATGACATCTGTTCAAAGTCATTTAAACTTTACAAAGGACTTATTTATTTAAAAAGGCAACTGAAAGCAAAATAATTATGTTTTATTGAAAATTCAGAAGCATTACAGTACTTTAAGACAGACTTTTTCATATTCTTTTACAAAGAAAAATAAAACAATTGACTCGAGCACAATGATATTCAGTTCTAAAACTAACAAAATCCTTTTGAAAAACAAAAATCCACAGCTTGATTTATTTAGGTCATAAGCATGTCTTTTCCTATTTGTTGCCTAGAAAACTCAAATGCACAATTTTTTAGAGTGATATTTCCAATATATCATCTTTCAGGATCCAATTTAAATGGTAGATTATATTTTTATCTAGTTCACGTAAGTTACTGGTGTGTGTTTGTACATGTGGGTGCACACATTCCAGCAGGAATTAGCCTATTTTAACATAAACTTTAAAGAATCAGAGTGATCCATCATTTCACTTATGAGAGGACAACAAATACCATGTCTAGTCATTTCTTAAGCATATGTTCTGATCACCTAGGCCAAAACCAACCAGTTTCAGAATGATATGAGGCCTAGAAGTAAATGTTAGTGGTATGTATTAGACTAACCATAATTCTATAAAGTATTAACTATTACAGTCTGTAATTTAATGTTAGAAGTATCCAATCTTTTAGATCAGCTTCTCAAATTATAGTATGAAGAGGGAGCCAAAAAGACCAAAATAAATCAACTTTTAAAAATTAATGTTTATTTTTATAGCAAATTATTCTATGCCTCAACATTCATTGAAATACTAGTATTATTTAAATAATTTTATTTAATATATACATCAACTCTACTCTGTATCTTCTCCCTTTTAAATAAAAAATAAGAGATAAAGAAATGGAATTTGGGTACCTATTGTCAACAAATGCATTACTCAGATGCTACATTGACATCTGTGGTGAAGAGATAGACAGGTAAGTTACAGCAAGATCTGTGTTTTTTCACCACTAGAAATGGCATAATATAGAACTTTAATATTTTATAGTACTTTGAAGTTAAACAGCTTCTATGTAACTATTAAGCAAATATTGAGGGAAATCAAATCCCATTAGAAAATTTATAACACATGCAGTGTATAATCCTCTTGTAAAAATTTAAGTGCATTTTCTACACAAGAGGCAGAGATCATTTTAATAAAGAAAAATTAAGGACAGAATTAAAATGTAATGTGGCATTTGCTAATACAATACTTATTTTCATTTGGTAACAGCATCTAAAGTAATCTTCAACCAACAAAAACTCTTACTTAATTGTAAAGAAATCTGGCCATGAGGGATAAATTTCCTCTGACAAAATGTTGGGAAGCAGTGTTTTAACAACAAGTTGACTGTGATCCTAATAAAACTCTAGGTGTAAGGGAGCAGAGATAACTTGGTAAAAACAGAGCTTCACCAGAGGTAAATAAAGGTTTTCTCCCCTGCCCCACCCATTCAGCAGAGATGACTCTCAGACAAGACAACTTTCAGAAAAAAATTTTCACTGTGTAGTAGATAGATGCTGTCATTTCAACCATATCATGATGGACCAAAAAACAGTAGACACAAAATTCCACAGGTACAATCACTCTCAATTCTCCCAGCTCCCAAAGTAAAACCAACAGCTGATACAATCAAAATATTTTCTCCAAAAATCTTTAGAAAATGTTATGACTCATAAAAACTAAATTTCAGAAAAATATTACCAATGATAAATATGTATTTCACTGCAGAATCATTGACACTGAACTAATGCATATTCATGAGCACTCTGTGCATCCTGATCTTCCACCAAAGACAGCTTAGTAAGAAATGATTTTTTAATAACAACACAATGCTTAAAAAAAAACTTCACTTAATGCTTGTACCCCACTTTCACAAAAAACTGGCATAAAATCTGTAATGATTATGTAGTAATATTATTATCAAATACGCTTAAATAAGAGTGCATTGAAACATTGCATTTAGTGTATCTTAAAAATTAAAACCATTTTCTCCCCATTTAGCCCTTCTTCCTTTCTAAATTTCAATTTTTTCTTGTAGAATCTTGATAATTTAGTGACTTTCAAATTGGATGTTGAGTCAGCATTATCACTGCATATGAAAGCCCAGTTGACAATATGCTCAAGATGTGTTGATGCTAAATGTAAAATTTATTTTTATGAACAACTATTCAATATTTCATTATATTTTATTAATTCCATAAGGAAATAAATAGGTGAAAGTACAAAAATAAAATTTCACACAGACTATAAATACATTGTGAAGACAGCTGACAAAAAACTAATGCTATTTTCCATTAAGCAATGGTTTTTTAATCATTTTACAACTTATAAATTTTTAAAACATCTAATTTATTCTTAGATTCAAGATTATATAACATTAGTTTCAATGAAGATTACTTTTCCTTTTCCATATTCTCTTAGTATGAATAAAGACTCAATGTAACATATTTAATACAAAAGTATTACAAAAACTATTATTGGCAATACTTAATGTAAATGTTTTTAAGAAGTTTTGATTCTTATGAATCTGTAGCAAAATAAAGCTTCTGATATATTTTTAGGATCATACTGATGATCAGTGAATGACATAAGCAAAAAATACCTATGTAAACATTTATATACAAAAATAGAGAATATATTCTCTACAGTGAGTTTAATGGCATCTTGCAGCATTATCCATTAGACTACCACCAGGCCAATTAAAATGTTCCATGTTTTAAAGTTTGAATTTTTTTAAGTCAGAAGAAATTCTTTTCCTTATGCTTTAAACTTAATAATTTTCATCTTCCCCATCAAATGAGATTATTTGTTCTGGTTATTAAGTGTGCTTGAAGAATTTGGAAGAATAGAAGGTATTTCTCTGGAAGACACCTGGAGTGTCTCAATATTTAGTTAACAGATTATTATTGTTTGAATTTTTCCTATCCATGAATTTTTTAAAAATATTTTTTAGTTTTTATAGTTGGACACAATACTTCTTTTTTATTTATTTTTATGTGGTGCTGAGGATCGAACCCAGCGCCTCACACATGCTAGGCGAGCGCTCTACAGCCCCAGCCCCCTATCCATGCATTTTATGGTTCTTTTATTCTGCCCATTCAGATCAATGAAAGACTGGAAGAAGGAAAGCCATAAGGCTGAAAAAATCCACAAGTGCTATATTTCGTCAGTATCTATTTTCTGCTATTAAGGAAGATAGTGCCTATGAAACTGAGGGAAGAGAAGGAACATAAGGAGAGCTCCAGCCACAAACACTGCAGCACGGCCCATTCTAGCCCACCATGTCATAGCAGCAGTGGTCTCAATTCTGTATTAAAAAACAATTGCTTCTTTCCCTTGCTGAGGTATGAAGCCACAGTGCTCGGTTCTTAGTTTCCTGGTTTTCTGTTCAGGTGATGTATACTATTCAAAGATCATATACCCCTTTCAAAATATAAAAATATAATTAAATAGACTCAACAATAAAATTAAACTGAAGATAATTTATTCTTGGATGTGATGTGAAAAATAAAATCCCTGGCCTGGTAGTCAAGAAATTAGGTTCTCTTTTTCTCAAGCCCAAGCGGCCTTAACCAAGTTGCTTAACTTTTCTGAGTCTTCACTTACAACTTACAAGGAGTTGTACTGGGTAACCTTTAAAGTCCCTTCCAAATCTGACTGAAACACTAAATCAGAATCTTGCTAAGTACCTCCTGCCTAATATGAAGATCACCTACTATACAGTACAGTGTAAAAATAATTCTGTTTGGGGATTTTCTGATGCTTATATAATGGGAAGTGTATTTTCCAATGGATGGGCTAAGCATAAGTAAGTATTTGGCTAAATACCTAATAAAAACAATCCAGATTTTCTTACGTTATACAAAAAGCTTACTCTAGATATTCACTGGGATGGTCTAGAGAGAGACTTTCGTTATGTATGTCCTGATTTAATTCCCAAACTGTTGAAGTCCTATATCTCCTCAACTTGGTGGCAAAAAGGTAGCATGGGGGTAAGAGAGAAATCTTGATTAAAGTGTTTCTTACAGAAATTATAAATAATTTAGAAATATTTTTATTCTTTAATTTTTTTATATTTTTTTTCAATTGTCCAAAGTAATTTAAACATTATTGTATTATTTAAAGCGTGTCATAGTTCACCATTACTGGTAAAGTATTGTAGTTTTCTGCCAAAATATTAACACTGTGCCAAAAATGGGGAGAGGATGATCTATTTTTGAGTATATGGTGATGTGTATTTTACTGTTCTTATTTTAATTGCTTTCCAAACTGAGACAAAAGTATAAGAATCTGAACTCTGCTTCTATTATTTCAAACCAGATGCTAAGCATGTTGAATTCAAATTCAGAGAGGGATTTTGTGGAGTACCAGCTACATCTCTGGTAGTTGGATAAATAATTTCTTCAACAGTAACATATGTACCTAATAAGAAGCCAACAACTCCAGTGAATGCTATAGAAATATTTTTCAGGATCATCCATATATTGTAATGTTCTTTAGAAAATGTAAGAATTTCAACCAAAGGTGGTAGAATCAGGGCCAATGTGCTGCTGCTCACAGCTCCAACAAAGGAAATTACGATGTCTAAACGAGGAATAAGAATTGCTCCAGCACCTGAAAATAAAAATACATATTTATCTAGTTTAAATATCTAGTACTTACATGAGTACTAAATACAGTATGAATACTTACTGAATACTAAATATTTTTCAATATAGTAAAAATAGCTAATGGAAGTCAGACTACTAAACTATTGCTTTGGAAAACTCTGCTATAGTTTGTTCTGAGCAGATTTTAAAAAAAGGGAAAAGAAATCAAAACAGTAGAGTGATACTTCTTGAACTTTGACTTGTCACCAGTTTTGTATATAAACAATGTTTAATTTTTTGCTCTACGGAAGTTTGGATAGTTTATTTCCAAAGTATTTGAATTATTCTGCCTGTCATACAGATCATTCTACAATGCACAAAACAGGGGGTGATATGATATAAATAAATGGGAGCGAAGAGACACCTAGTCCTTACAGTAATATTCCAATTAATCAAAATGGAAAGAGTGATGGAAGTAGAAAATCATTTTAACCAAATACCAACATAATCATTGAACAGGAAAACTCACTCAAGGATGTTACAAGTGAAGATCAGGATATTTACAGAGTCTCACAATACCTCTCTACAACATACTAATTATAAAAGGAAAAATAGTGTCTTTAAAATGGAGATCTAGGTCAGAGACCATGTTAGCCAAGTGAACAAAGTTGATATCACCAGTGAGACATACTAAAACCATGATGCGATGTACTAAGAAGTGCAGAGCATCACTCCTTTGTAATTCTTTTTTAAATGCTTGATTTTACTCATAAGCAAGCATCAGGAAAATCTAAACTGGACAAAATGCTACAAAATTACTGGCACTTCAAAAGTGTCAAGTTCAAAGACAAAGAGACAAAATCAAAAATAGAAAGACAAAGACAAGGACTATCAAGACTAGAAGAGACTAATAAGACATAATAACTAAATTCAAGTTGAACCTTGGATTGATTCCCAGACCAGAAAAGAATATTAATGGGAAAACTAGAATAAAGTCTATATATTGGTTAGTAGCATTATACCATGTTAATTTCCTGGATTTTAATAATTGTATCATAGTGACATAACATAAGAACATGAGAGGAAGCTATGTAAAAGATTTATAGGAATTCTACCTTCTTTTACAACTTTTCTGTTACATTACTTCAAACTAAAATGACTTTTAAATAAACTGAGTTTAGCTCAGTCTTTAATTGTATATATTTATGGGGTATAGTGTGGTAATTTGATACATGTACACAATATATAATAGTCAAATCAGGATAATTAAACTAGGCAGGGTGGCACATGCCTATAATTACAAGGGGGGGTGGGGTGAAGGCAGGAGAATTACAAGTTTGAGGCCAACCTGGGAAATTTAGCAAGACCCTATCTCAAAATAAAAAATAAAGAAAAGGTTGGGGATGTGGATTAATGTAAAAGAATCCATGGGTTCAATACCTAGTACTGCAAAACAGAAAAAAAAAAAATCAGAAAAATTAGCATTTCCATCTTCTTATCATTTCTTTGATTAGAGAGCATTTCAATTTATCTTTTCTATCATAAAATATATAATAGGTTGTTGCAAATTACAGTCACCCTACTGTATTGTAAAACACCAGAACTCATTTCTCCTAACTGCATGCTTCACTATTGTCAGAAGAATTTTCTTCCAAGCTGTTTTCAAGTTTGTAATTTGTAGCCTGGTGCTTTCTTGATCTTATCTTGATCTTATCAAAAGGTGTCAACAGAAATGTTTATAAACATCAAAAATCATAGTCCTTCTTCATATTATATTTAAATTGTGATTTGTTGAGAGTTTGGAGTTGCTAGCAGAAATAACAGCCGAATTTGCTCCATGCATGCTGTGGCAACACCACCATCACTATCAACAATGACAAACATATCACCAAAGTTTTTTCTTTGGGGCCAATTATGCCAGTGTTGACTCTCCTTTACTTGTCTTCAAATAACAAAGAATTAGAGACTTGTCTCTAATTCTTTGTTATCTCTCTAAGTTCATTTCCTTTTGCTTTTCTTGTTTCTAGCTTCTTTGTCTTTAATTAAATTTTCTGTGATATATCTATTTCCCTACATATGGTTCAAGTGAAATACTGCTGTGAGAAACCATGTGGAAAAATACTATATAATGTTATTATTTATATATTAAATTTCTACCAAACATTTTAAAATCAAGTAGTAATATAATTTCTTTTTGTTGTTGTTGTTTTAATTTTTTATTCTAATTTGTTATATATGACAGCAGACTGCATTACAATTCATATTACAGAAGTAGTATAATTTCAATGAGTTAAAGCCATATTTAAAATCTTATATAACCAATATATATTTGCTACTGAAAATGACTTAAAAAATGTCATTTAGTAATGAAATGAGTAGACAAAGTAGTACATAAACTTTAAACAAATCCATAATACAAAAACTCAAATGGGCAAATACAATAAAACTAAGGAATGTTTAAGATAAGAATAGTTTAGTTATTAAAAATATTCACTATGGGATTATTATAAATACATTGGCCTGTGTCATCTACAGACAACTATCATAAATAGATCTACTAAGTGCTAAATAAACTTATTCTGCCCATGTGCAGAAATGGATAAAGATATTAAAAATTCTGGCCTCTATTAATATGTATACAGAACCCTAAAGAAAGAAATCAAAGAAGACCTTAGAAGATGGAAAGATCTATCTTGCTCTTGGATAGGCAGAATTAATATTATCAAAATGACCATACTACCAAAAGCACTATACAGACGTAATGCAATTCTGATCAAAATCCCAATGGCATTCCTCATAGAAATAGAAAAAGGAATCATGAAATTCACCTGAAAAAATAAGAGACCCAGAATAGCTAAAGCAATCCTTAGGGGAAGAGTGAAGCAGGTGGCATCACTATATCAGACCTTTAAAAACTATACTACAGAACAAAAGTAACAAAAACAGCATGGTATTGGCACCAAAACAGACTGGTAGACCAATGGTACAGAATAGAGGACACAAAGACTAACCCACAAAGTTATAATTATCTTATATTAGACAAAGGTGCCAAAACTGGGAAAACTGGAAATCCATATGCAACAAAATGAAATTAAACCCCTCTCTCTCACCATATACAAAACTCAACTCAAAGTGTATCAAGGACCTAGGAATTAAATTTTTTTCTTTTTATTTAGTCCAATTATCAAAATGTCAATAAAAGCAATGTATGAAAACCCATTTAATTTTTTAAAAATAAATTTTTCCTACTGGATATCTCATGAGCCCCCAGAAAATGGGCTCATCAACTTTATTTAGCAATATGATTTCCCTTATAAATTGATGTAACTCTTTTATATCATTACTTTAATACGTTTTATCTATTCTTTCCAGTTTTATTTTTCTCTTTCAAACAAAATATAACACAATCAATTCTTTAAATATAGGCACAAGCTCCATCCATACTGCTCAGTGTGATTTATGGAGTTGACCAGAAGTTCTAGGTCTATATCCTCTAACCCTAAATGGGCCAAAACAGAATTCCCAGAACTGCTTGTTCCTTGGAATACCAATAATATGACCATTTTAGCAATCCCAGGCTGGTCCAGTGTTGTTATGCTTCCTGTTATAATAGTTTATTTGTGATAATATAATTTTAAGAAATTCAACAATAAAAATTATTTTAATATAAGTATGCAGTGATACTTACAAGTAATACTAACCAAGAAGGATCTTATCCCAAATTCACAAATTTGCTTCCATTTAGCATGAAATTTGGATGTGACTCCAGGGATAATAATTTCTGCTGGAACATAGAACTGAATTGAATATGTCACAAAGATGCCAAAGGAATACAGAATTTTCACTGACTGATATAACCTGTTGAGAAAAATCAAAAATTTAGTCTTAATATGAATCTAGCTTACCTCCTTTTTATTTTGATAAGATAAACAAGAAATTCAGAAAAACAACAAACGAACTTGGACTAGAACTCACTAACCAAAAATATTGTTTGTAAAAAAGTCAACTGATCTCCACTAATTAGATTTCTAGATGATATTTGAACTTTGACAATCCTGGAAAGTTTGGACGTGGCATGCAAAGCTTGGCTATCTACTATTGGGAAGACTTCACTGTGGGCTAAGGGCTAAACCAGTGTTCTGAGGGTACGCTCAGCCCCATCAAGAGCTGATGTTTTTCAACTTTCTTTTTATAAATTAAGCATATTTGTTGTCTCTGAAATCTTGAGACATGACTCAGCAATCTGTATTTAGAAGAGAAACTTCAGTGAATTCTTAGTCATAGTTTATCTTGCTTAAAAATCTTGGTATGATGTTATTCGCAGCAGAAATAGGAGGGGTCTAAACAGTTTCAACATGCAAAGTTTTCTAAATTATACTGCCTGTGTTAAAATTATGTTAATAATGGAAACAGAGTTCATGGGATATTATTTTGTCCAAAAAATTTTATCTCTTTGACACTCAGTACTTCAAAATAGCACAGAAATTTTAAATTTCAATAATATTCTTAGATTTCTTTTAAAAATTATTTTTCAATAGATACCTAATAATTGTACATATTTATAAGTATACCACTATAGTATATTTTGGTATGTGTATAAAATGTGTGATCTCTGAATTTCTACATTATAGATAGCCTCCTATCAAACTCAGTATGCATATTTTGATAAAAATTTTAGTAAATTTCTTTTGTCTGGCAAAAGATTTATTTTATTTATTTATTGGGTACCAGGGATTGAACCCAGGGGTGTTCAGCCACTGAGGTACATCCTCAGCCCTTTTTATAAGTAATTTTGAGATAGGGTCTCCCTAAGTTGCTTTTGAACTTGTGATCCTCCTACCTCTGCTTCCCAAGCTACTGGGTTTACAGGTTTGCAACCACAGCACCCAATGAAGATTTTTTTTTTTTAATATTAAAAATGACAATGAATAGAAAAACATACAATAACAGGCCTCAGTAGAACATAACAGAATCTACACCCTTGGGCTATAGAAAATAAAATTAATGTGTTCTATTTTTAATATATCAATATTTCCCAACAGTCAAAAGAAACATCCAATCACTCTTGTTTTTTTTTTGTTGTTGTTGTTTTTTTTAAAGAAACAAACTAGTGAGGAGGCAGGGAACTGAATGTGCTGTGGCATTAGAGCAATGATTAACGTGTGTTCTCTTTTAGCAGCAACATGATCTATAATCATAGACTTTTCACTTAAGAGTTCTACTTTCCCTCCTAAGAGTTCTAAGCACAGGGAAGAGTATTTTCTTAGGATATAAATTATTTATAGATTGGGGCTGGGGTTGTGGCTCAGTGGTAGAGCATACACCTTGCATGTGTGAGGCACTGGGTTCGATCCTCAGCACCACATAAAAATAAAGGTATTGTGTCCATCTATAACCAAAAAAATATTAAAAATAAATAAATTACATATTTATAGAGTTTTCTTTCTTAGCATATAAAATCATTTAGGATATATATCATTTCTTAGGATACAAATCATTTAAAAGGATAAAACATATTCTATTTTTGGTAAAATGTTTAATTAGGCTTTAAGTTTATTTCTGATGTCTTAAAACTTAAGTAGTAAGGATTATAAACAGTTCTTTAAACTATGGCCAAGCAAGAAGAAATTCCATAAGTATTCTGTTATAACATATTCATCACATAATTAAGAAGATATTGCTAAGTGAAGTTAGCCATTCCCAAGAAAACCAATGCTGAATGTTTTCTCTGATATAAGGAGGCTGATTCATAGTGGGGTAGGGAGAAGGGGAACATGGTAAGAATAGACAAACTCTAGATAGGGCAGAAGAATGGGAAGGGAAGGGAGCGGGGCATGGGGTTAGAAATGATGGTGGAATGTGATGGACTTTACTATCCAAAGTACATGTATGAAGACACTAATTGGTATATTCATATACTTTGTATACAACCAGAGATATGAAAAAATTGTGCTCTATATGTGTAATAAGAATTGTAATGCATTCCACTGTCACATATAAATAAAAAAAATTAATTAAAAAAAGAGAGGTATGTATTGTTCCTAAGAGGTATATACCATCACTGGAGGACACTTGATAAGACAGAACACAGATATTACTATTTGCTATTCAAGTCTTCTCAAGAACTTATTAAATCATCATTGGCACTCAGTGATTACCCTCAAGTCTCTGCACCTTCAACTCTCCTTTACAATAGAGATACAAACTAAAAATCTCCACCTTCTGTTCTGAGATCCATAAATTACTATTGGAGGAGTTAAGAGACAGATGAAATTTAAATACAACCATCTAGAAGATTTTAAAATTATGCGGTATTCACTCCCAAGCCTAAACTCAAAAGATAATTCTTAACACCTCTGCTGCTAACCTAATTCCACATTCTGTGTTTTTGGGTTTTTCCAGATCAAACTAATATAAACACTTTCTACTTAGGACCTCCATGTTGGTAAGGAGATTCTATAACTTCAAGTAATACCAGTAACATGTAAGAACCTGACATTTATATGAAAAAAAAAAAAAAAAAACACACAACAAATTATATGGGGCAACCACAGTCCTTATGAAAATGAACATTTCTATGGTCCATATTATCATTTACATTAAACATTTTTGAAGTCCTGTATTTAACAGGTTGATAATTTCTTTTTGGTTATTCTTCTTGCAACTGCCCTGAACCACTTTTTTTTAAAAAAAAATCCTGAATTATATATTCCCTCCTGGATTGTGGCAGTGTGCTTGGGGTTTTCCAAACTATAGGTTATGTGGCGAACTTTTCTAAGGTACAGATTTTACTTCAAGACAGTATTTTTGGGAGAAAATTATTTTGAAAAAAAAATGATTTTTGTATAAACTAGAATGCAAAAGGTATACTTTTAAAAAATAAAGTATACACTGATGTTGTGCTAAAGTTAGGCCATGTCGGGACTGCCCCAGGACTCCGGAGGGAATGCTTTTCTCGTTCTTCTATCTGGGTTGCTGCTATAGTATGGATAAGTGTTCCCCCAAGGTGCATTTTATAAAGGCTTGGTCCTCAGATTGGACTTTAGGGAGGTTGTGAAATTTTTAAGAGAAAAGGTGGGATCTAGTGGGAGGACCTCAGGTCCCCAAGGGCATGCCCTTGAATGGAATAATGGGTCCTTCAGTCCTTTTCTCTTCTGACTTTCACTTCCCAGTCATGAGGTAAGTGAGTGATTTTTACTCAGTCATATGCTATTGCTATGATGTTCTGCCTAGTCAGCCATGGACTGAAACCTCCAAAACTTTGAGCCAAAATAAAACTTTTTATTTTATAAGTTTAATTATCTCAGAGTAATGGAAGGCTGACTAAAATACTCTTTTTGAAAAAAGCTGGTAAAACATTTGAATAGAACTAGAAGTCATGTCTTGATTATACTATTAGGTTACACAGGAAATGCTTCTAAACTTAAAATAGTATTTTGTGAATTTACTTTATTATCACCTTTAAAATACACTCCTTGCTTCAAAAGCCAAACATATTACCTTGAATAGCATTATTCATAACCAGCTTTTACTAATGACAACTCAGGAATACTGAAGATGTAATAACTTGGAACTTCTATAATTCACACTCACTTCATCCTAGGGTCTCTCTCTAATTCAACCTTTTCTTGAAAAAAACAGCCGTTATAATCTCTGAGACTACAGTCAATTTGGCATGAAAGTCCCTTATTCCTTGCCATGGCTAATAGTCATTAGGTCCCTGAAATGCTCTTGCTAGAGTCATCAGCTTTCATACTCAGCCACTGAGTACACTGTACACTCTGTACCTTCCAAGGCCTTCTGTATTAAACACAGAAAAAGAAGGGAAGAAAAAAAATTAAAGAAAGGAATCTCAGATATAATCTCAAATTACACTAATCGAAACTTCTCACGTTATAGACAACTATAACTGTAAAAAGATGGACAAAACTTTTTCTGTATTCCTAGGCATGACTATTATTTTAACATTCCCACAAGTGTAAGATCAAAAAGAAATATTACAGGCCACCAAAAGCATGTTTCCACAATGAAAAGGAATGAAGCAACAGAAGTTCTCTCAAAAGAAATATTCATCTTGACATGCTTTCCTATTTTTTTCCTGTTTTTGTTATTCTTTGAATAATTATTGTAGGTTCACTAAATGAAAAGCAGGTGACTTGCTAGACTTTCTTGAGTAGAAACTATGATCAATTTATTAGCCCCCCTTTTAATCAAATGAGTTCCATTCTAACCAGAGAGCCATAACAATTAGGGGGTAAGAAAGATTAATTGGAGCTACTACATGGACAGTGTCATACCCCAAGATTGAGCTGTGAATTCCAAAAGATCTCCTTCTTATTCCTGTCCATTTTTCCTTCACCAGATTCTTACTTGCCTTGGGATAAGGAACATATTATTTTGAATGTGTGCATATTTCCTCTTCTGTCCCTTCTCCTATAAAATTTTCCTTAAATGCTTTGTGAATAAGAGTAGAGAACAATTTTGAGATTGCTTCTACCTGTTTTATATTCAACATTAAAACTCCCTCTCACATTTCTCAAAAGAAGACATACAAATGTCCAACATATAAATGAAAAAATGTTCAATGAGAAGAAAAACCCCACATGAGAATGGCTCCTCTCAAAAAGATAAAAAAAAAAAATAACAAATGCTAGGAAGGATTTAGAGGAAGAGAGACTTTATACACTGTTGATGGAAATGTAAATTAGTATAGCCACTATGGAGTAAAGTACTGAGGTTTCCCCAAAACTAAAATTATACCTATCATACCATCCAGAAATCCCACTGCTGGCTATATCACCAAAGAAAATGAAATCACATGATGAAAAGACACTTTATTGCAGCACCATTCACAATATCCAGGATATGGAATCAACCTAAATGTTCACCAACGAACAAATGAATAAGAAAATGTGGTGTATATATATATGCAATGGAATAAAATCCAGCCATAAAAAGTATGACATCCTATCATATGTGACAACACATACAGACCTGGAGGACACTATTTTAAATGAAGTAAATCAGGCAAAACCAGAAATTACATGATCTCACTCATAGATGTGATGGCACAGCAAGGTGAATATAATTAATAATAATGCATGATCTCTCACTCACATGGATCATGTAAACAAGCAGAGGTTTCTATCCTCATAGAGGATAAAATGAACTTCAAGCCAAAATTCATCAGAATGGACAATGAAGGACATTTCATACTGCTTAAGGAAATTATCCATCAACAAGACATAACAATCATAAATATTTATGCCCCAAACAAGGGAGTGTCTACATACATCAGACAAACTCATCTCAATTTCAAGAACCAAACAGACCACAACACAATAATCATTTTAACATGCCTCTGTTGCCACTGGATAGATCCTCCAAACAAAAACTAAATAAAGAAGCTACAGAAGTAAAAAAATACAATTGATAATTTAGACTTGACATATATAAACTATTTCATTAATAAATGACTGAATACACTTTCTTCTCAGCAGCACACATCTTTCTCTAATATAGACCATGTTATGTAAACTATCACATATGTTGGCATCAACTATAATATTACCTTAATATATTTTTTAGCATTTGTAGAGTTATCTTGATATCTCCCTTTTTATTAATATTAATTTTTGTGTTCTTGCTTTTCTCTTGATTAGAATTGTTTGATTTTTATCAAATTTTAGCTGTATTATTTCTTCTCTATTTCATATATTTTTGCTACTGTTCTTATCTTTTCCTTCCTAGTACATAATTTGAAAATAATTTGATTGTTATTCTAGCTTCTTTCTGATACAAGTACTTTAAGTTATAAATATTCATCTGAGAACTGTTTGATCCCAAAGATTCTGATATCTTAAGCTTTTATCATCACTTAATTCAAAGCATTTTTTATTACTTTTATTATACATTCTTCCTTGACCTCAAAGACATTCATAAGTGTTCATACAGGAAACACAGTCTGCATGATTTCCAATTTTTTAAAAAGTAGTGGAAATGCTTTTTATATTGATTGTATTGGTTACAATACATATCAAAACTGATCAAATTGCATACTTGAAATATGTGCATTTTATTGTACTTAAATTTTACCGCAATAAAGCTACAGGAAATTTTTTTTTAAATGCATACTCTCTTCTCAAAATACTTGGAGGAAGAAATTTGAGTATATTCACCATGAGGAAAAGATAAACATTCGAGATGATGGTTGATTACTATCCAATGTATATCTGAATGAAAACACTGCATTCTGTCTAATAACCATGTACAAATATTATGTATCAACCAGAAAGTTAAAAAATATAAATAATAAAATATACCTGTCCAATTTTAAATTATTATTTTTAAGATTTAGTCTAAATGTTACTGGCTTATAACTGGAAAAAACATATATTTTCTAGATATTTTACAATATTCAAAATATGAACTATACTATCATAATTTTTAGCCTTCATTCTTTTCAATTAAGTTGTTTAAGCTTCTAGTCCTTATATATTAAAAAGAAAAATATATATTTGAAGGAAACAAAAGTATGTAATTAACTATAACATGGGTAAATTAAATATATATAGCTTCTTTGCAATCATGACTCCTCCTGAAATACATTTACAACATTTGAAACATGTTTCCACCTTGAAATATTAACAAAATGTCACTAAGGTAAAATTATGATTAAAAAATAAGATAAACACACTGAATGGGTGCCCCCTGACACCTGGAAACTATCCTACTTACATTCCTCTGACTTGAATGGCTTCCTATGTGCATTTGTCCTAACAAAATATTTAATCAAAAAATTCCCTGAATGCAAATGATAATTAAATAACAGACAAACTCTCATCAGGAAGCCATTCAGAAAACACAATTTCTGCTGTTGCTGATTTTCTCTACACTTGTGAGATATTTAAAATTTCACAGACTTCCTGCCAGGCACCATGGCGCACGCCTATAATCCCAGTGGCTCGCAAGGCTGAGGCAGGAGGAACATGAGTTCAAAGCAAGCCTCAGCAATTGTATAGTTAGGCCCTAAGCAATTCAGTGAGACCCTGTCTCTAAATTAAATACAAAACAGGGCTGGAAATGTGGCTCAGCACTTGAATGACCCTGAGTTCAATCCCAAGTACCCCAAAAGATAAAGTTTCACTGACATCCAGCCAAGTAGCTGAAGGAGCAGTGTGACATTTAGTAAAACAGCAACTTAGCATTTATTCTTTTCATTTATCAAAACTAAGGCATTATCCATTTTGTAAATAAGAAATTAAGTCTATATCATTATCACTGCTAATACTTTGTTAAAACTCCCAAACACCAAAAAACTCTAGGAAAAATCACATATATTGATTGCTTCATTTACAAGACTATGATTATAATATTAAAACACTAAGATGCATCATTTCATTATTAGAAATGAGTCCCAATTGGATTCTGAATCAATTTGAAGTACATATAATATAAAGCTGACCAGTAGAATACTAAGGACCATAAATGATGAGATGTTATTTTATCAAAAACCCAATGTCTTTGCTTTTTTGGCAGCAAGAATGAGTATTTTTCTATTACAGTGTGTCCATACTATAATAATTCATATTTTGCTTTTACACATGACTCATGTTTGAAACACAATTTTTTTAAATTCTTTTTTTAAATCCCACAGAGATCCACAAATTCATAGATGATCTCCTCAGAGACTTATGAAAAAATCCAGGTTACCCAAATAAATAAATCACAGTGAATGTTTTAAATGATTAAATCATAAATCCAACATACCTTTACCATTGAAGGCAGTAAGCTCTATCTATAAAACACAAAAACTAGGATGAACTCATATTCACCTACCATACATCCTGGGGAAGATTCAAAGTTATGCTGCCTTTGATTTCATCACGAAAGCACATATATCCTAAAGTAGCCAAAGTCACATACAAAGTTGTAACGATCCCCATGCCAATATTCAGAGCTTGAGGGAAGCGTTTTGAGTCTTTCATTTGGTTTTCCAGTGGAAGGACCTAAAATAAAAAAATATAAATATTTTAAAGAGAATATGATTCAAGTATGTTTGAAAATAACAGGGTCTCAAATTGGTCTTTTTATAGTTTATATACAAAATCTTTCTTTAAAATAATGCATATAATTATTAAAGGATTTTACCTTGTCCTATATTTTCTACAATAAACATTAAAATGTTTTTTTAAATATTTAAAAATTAGTCCTTGGCAGGCAAACCTGTCCATTTCTTAAATATTTTTTTTTATTTTGGAATAATTTTAGATTTACAAAAAAGTTACAGAGTTCTCACATATCCCTCAAGAAGTTCCCCCCACTGTGAACATATTACTTACCATGTCACACGTGCTACAACTATAAACCAATTTTTTATGTTATTATTATTTGTGCATTTCTAGTAACTAAACTCCAAACTTCATTTGTATTAGGTTTTCCATTAATGCCCTTCTTCTCTTCCAGAGTCCCATCCAGGATAACACTGCATTTTGCCAGCTTTCTTCCTATGTCTTTTCTAATCTCTGGTAGTTTCTCAATCTTTCCTTCTTGTTCATTATACTGAAATTTTTTTAGCAGTATGGATTAGCTATTTTGCATAGTATCTCTCTATTCAAGTTTGCCCAACATTTTCTTTGTGACTAGTTTGGGATTATAGGTTTTAAAGAATACCACAGAGGGGAAGTGCTCTTGTCATCATATGCTTTTATGCCTGGTGAAGTTCATTTTGATCACTTCATTAAGGTATTTTGCCGGGCTTCTCTGCTACAAAGTTATTTTTTTTCTCCTTTCATCATATTCTTTTTATATTCTAAATTGAGCCCATACTCCAAAAACTAATGGGAAATTAACTACACCTTCCAGAGGGAGAAGTCTCCACATAAATCATTTGAGATTCTTCCTCATGTATTTATTTGCTTAATCATTTATTCATATTAGCATGGACTGACAGATTTGTTTAATACATGGAATTATAATCAAATATTCTTGTTATGCATTTGGTCAGACATATTGCTTTAACCTTGGCCATTCGGAATTCTATTAGGATAGCTCCTGTGTCCTTTTGATGTGTCTCCATTCTTTTGTTTTTAAGCATTTCCTTACTTTCTGGCACTCCAGACTCATCCTGAATTTATTTGCTTCAGCCCTAAAATCAGTCATTTGTCTCTAAAGAACTTGAGTTCTTTTGTTGGAAAAGTGTATTTAGAAATAAAGATCTGGGTTATGGGCATGCTTGTTTCTTCTAGATGTCACTCCTTGTAGGTCCTATCAGGAGACAGAGCTAGGAAATACATGTGTGTATACTAACACATGTATGCATACACCTGTAACTGGTTCTATATCTATCCATTTGTATCGATTGTCTGTCAATTTCATTAAAGATAGTAAATGGTTTTCATTGAATAAAAATAACTTTTAAGGAAAAGGCTAATTGAAAAAAATCAAGGTTTTTAGGTTAATATTCAAAACATAATTTAGCTGTACAGGGAATGACAGTATATAATAAAAATAACAAATATTTATTAAGTGCTTAAGTACAGCAGCTATTATTCTAAAAGCTTTGCAATAGCATCTTAGACAGTTCTCAGAATAGCTCTGGAAGTAGTATTGCTATTACTATTCTGACTTTTCATGTGAATAAGTCCATTTCATATGGAAACATTAACTGCTAAAAATTTATATTTGAATTTTATATAACAATATAGTAATAATTTCAATTTCCTTAAAATAATCTAGCCTATAAAATGTTTGGAATGTGCTTAAGTATGTGGAGTACAGATAAAACAAATTGAATTAAATTTTGGAAGCTGGTCAGTTAAATTTTGGAAGCTGGTGATGCTTACACAGGCAGTCATTATACTACTCTCCAAATTTTGTATAGATTTAAAATTACATAATACGATGCTAAAATCATTTACAAATAAAGAAGGAATTAATATGTTTAAGATTAAACTCTTCATGGAAGAACTAAACTATAATATAAATCTACCATACCAAACTGGAAATCATGTTCCCAGAATAAGGAAAACTGAAATTAGAAAAAATCAATATGCATTTTTACATAGCTTCACAATGTTAGTCTTTGAGATAACTTAATATTTAAAAATAATACAGACTAATTCTTACCACTCCTATGCCTTCAAAAGCAAATACAGCAGTACCAAAAAAAAGCGGGTATTTTTTCCAACCAGCCACTATTGGAAGGTTGTGGGGATCTGGCATGTTCTGCAGAAAGGGGAAAAAACAGATAATATATTTATTTATTTTAGAGAATTTTGAAAGAAAGAGTAAAATCCCATTCTTCTGAGCTTCACAACAGGAAATGTGAGTTATATATTATATAATATTTCTTTCAATAAACACTTTAAGCAGCCTATGTTAAATGTAGCAAAATGTTAGGATTTAATTGCCAAAGCAACTGTTTTCCTTATGGCCACACATTCCATCTGAGCAAAATTCTCCTGATTACCTGTTTCCACCTGTAAGTTCTAGACTGTGCACACTGGGTGTGGCTCCTGCCACAACAGAAAATACAAAAGCACACTCAGGTCTAGGCTGAGAGCCAAATGGTTAGTTAACAAACACTGCTTTTGGTACTCAACAGAAAGTCTTTCTCCACTCTACTATCATTGCTCCTTTAGGCCTCTGAGATACTTGGTTCCTGATTCTGGCTTTCTGTTTCACAGCTCTGCTGCTGCTCCCAGTATAAGTTTCTTCTGGTTTCAGTATTTACTCAGTGAGCTAACAGTTGTTATTACCCTTATTTCTGTATAGGTGACCTGACTCTGGTTTTGATTACATGACACTGACACATAGCCTTGTTTCTAATTCTCACAATCTGACAAACTCACAAAGGGCATATTTTGTTCAAACTCTCTGGGTCTACAACAACCACTTCTTCCAGATTCCAAAGTCTGGTCCCTACTTCCTCACCATCCTGCATTCTCTGGCTTACCTGACAAGACGCAGAATTCAAGGTCAAGAAAAGCGGATGAACAAAGCAACTTAAGCATGAAGTACAAGGACAATTTAGGGAATAGAAAGGGCTGGAACAATGGAAACAAAGGTATAACTGTATGATAAAAGGTGATACAGTACCAAAAACATAGGCTAGGGTTAGAAAAGAAGTTTGAAGGGTCTGAATTATTTGCCACCACTAACTGTTAGAAAAGGCAAGCAGGATGCTATTTCACTTCTTCATGAATGAGCTCATGCCATTTCCCTCTATCCAGGGAACCACCTTTTCTGCCTGCTAAGTCTTACACATTCAGCTAAGGGGTCATGAACTCCAGAAAGCCTTATGGGATCTTCTTTCCTGTCCCTTTACACTCTTAAGTACTGTAAGAAAGAATAAGGGTTTGGGAAATCAAAGAAGAGAAAAATGAAATACAGACCCACAATAAGAGTTTGCAATTAAATTGTTATGGAGATTTGCAACAATTACCTTTGAAGAAACATATAAGAAGGATTATATCAGGAGGAATAGAACAAGGATTTTCAACCTTTTCTGGGTAACTGGCCCTTTGAGAGATGAAAGCCATACAGCTGCTTAGCAGAGAAAAGTGTGTGTGTGTGTGTATACATATATATGTATATATCTAGAGAGAGAGGGAAGAAAGAGAAGGAGGAGGAGGAAAAGGAGGAGGAGGAGGATTAGAGACAGGGAGAGAGACTAAATCTTAAAAACAATTCTAAGGGATTTGCAGATTCCCTGAACCCTGAGAGGTTTTAAAGAAACTGTGATGAAAAATCCCCAGAATGAATAATAAAATTAGTTCAGGTTATTGCATATACTTCATTCAAAGGGATTACAGAGTTGTACAGTGGAAGTGGGTTGAAGCAGTGGCAGAAAATAAATATGTAGAAGTGAAAGAAAATTGTGGAACTACATACATTTCCCCATAAATTTTTACTGGTTCAAATTTTAAAGGAAAAGATAATATACTTAATAAGTTGTTCCTTGTGAGCCACTGTACTGAGACCACAACCCTAAATCTCACAAGAACTCTATAGGTATGTAGCATCGTCTTCTGAAGCACTGACACAAAGCCAAGAAGCATATTTACCAACACCTAAAACCAGGCCAGACTAAAGAGCCTGTACTTGTCACCACTACTTCACACACTTTCAAATTAGCAGTATCCCCCAGAAAGAAACCAAGGTTTACCACTGTCTGCTGTGGCCAGATGTGCACTAACAGTCTTTATGTGTCATTACTTTTAACTCCAAAGTAAACAAAAGTTTTACTTGTGTAGGAAATATATGACATTTAGTTAAAAATACATCATACTTACCCTAACAATGTACTGGTAAATTATCACAAGACTGACAGCCATGGAAATGTTGGCAAGGAATGAAAGTACAAATAGATTCTTTAGTTCACGAATGAAGACCAAAAGAATTATAAATGGAAGAAAGCAAAGCATGTATATCCTTAGGTCAATACTTCTTCTTTCACATGGATTTGACGAATTGGTACTATTCAAAACAAATACTTTACTGTCCAAGAATCCTTCATGAACCTATACAGGATTACCAGGGGAATAAGGGAGGAGGAAAGACATACATCAATTTATAAGAGAGAAATGAAAAAAATTACAATCTACATACATTGTGACACACTGTACAACAAAACATTTATATTTTCTGGATACTCTGGCTTCCTAGAAACATATAAGAATAATTAAGGTAGGAAAACATTCTTTGCAAGATAACTTATTTTTTGTACTGTAAAAAAGTTCACGAGAAAATTATAAGGATGAGTTTACTAATTTAATCTGAAGCTTGTGATTATGATGTTCATGATCCCTGCAATGACTCAAAAGATCCATTTCTGAGATCATCAAACTGGGAGCACATTTGTCTAGAATGACCAGGGGTATTCTACTTCAGCTTACTTTCTTCAGAATATAAAACAAACACTAAGTATCTCTTAGATACTTAGTCAAAGTAAAATTTAAAGAAGTCAAAGTAAAATTTAAAAATCACAGACTAACTTTAAAATGTGTGTAAAGCAACTATTTATAAATTATCATCATTATCAATATTACTAAGAATCCACAAAATTCACATTGCTATGTTACACAATAGATAATTTTTGCTAGAAAATTTCTACAATAGAAATCAGTTTCACTTAAAAGCCTATTCACCAATTTTATAATGCAATTTTTATATTTTTCAAAGAAATGCAAGAATTTATAAATTTCATGTTAAAAATCTGTCTCTGATTCAGTCAGTCATGTAATCCAACTTTCTAAAATAGAAACAAAATTACAGTAGAATTTAGAAACAATCTTCAAAACTTATAGCACAGGCAAATCAGATTATAATTTAAATACCAATGAAAAATTACTTGCAACCAAACCTCCTTTGAACACACTGATATCGTCAAGCATCTGGTTATATTCTTAAGAAACAGATCCTATAATAGTAACAGCTAGCATTTTTTTTTAGTGCTTTCTATGTATCAAGTACTGAACTAAAAGCTTTTTAAACATCTCATTTAATCTTCCAAATGATTCTCAGAAGTGGGTTACAGTATTAATTTCAATTCAAACTAGAGAAAACTGAGGCTTGCAGAAGGGGAAAGAAAAAACTTGCATAGTATCGAGCCAATGAGTGGTGGTCCTAGGATGCAAACTCAAGCCTAGATATTAACCTGACCAAAATAATACTACCTGAAGAAGGGTACTATGTCCAAAAAGCTACCCACCTCTACTCTGACATCTTTCTTGAAAGGTACCTAATATTAAGGGGCAAACAAATCAGACACTTAAAACAAAATTCTGATATGGCTTATAATTCATGTTCCTTTTACTCTACTTTTATACTTAAAATCCATGATAAGAATTGTTTAATTAATCACTACAAACACATATGTTATCTTAGATGGTAGGGAATTTAGTAGATTTTTAAGCTACATAGGCATTTTATAATTCACACTGACCTAACAAACCCTCAAATTATACCATGCACCATTTAAGAAATGCACTGCTCATCATTTCATGTAACTGGCCATCAAAACTTTATATTTTATGTTTTATAATTTGAAATTGAACCAAAATTATTAATTTACAATACTTGGCTTTTAAGAAGATATTCAATTGTTGGCTTAATTTTCTCAGTAACCAAATCTTTAGAGTCAAACACTTCTTATTAAAGCAGTACTTTTGATAATTGGATTATGTAATGATCAAGTTCAACTCTAACAAAAATTCCTGGTAAGAGAATGGCAGTTACATAAACAAAATTTTAAAGGGCTGTTTGAATTATTAGGTGCTTAGAAATTTAAAAATTAGCTCTATCACAATATCTAATAAAAATTTAGCATTCTCTGGCAGAAAGATGGTTATGAAATTTCTCAGGATTAAAAAAATACAATAAAAAATGTAGATACATACCTAGAGCAAGATTCAGGTAAACATTTGAGTCCTTTGGTGCCCTCTAGAGACAGAGATGGGCTAATAGGACTTCCTATGGTCTCACATGTTTACCAAAATGTAAAACACTGGAATAAATATTATAAAATAAAATTACTAAATTCAGTTTTATTCATTTAGAGCTCAAATTTACTAAAACCCACTATTATTAACTTTCAATGACTCAGTAATTTTATGATTAAAATTCCAAAGGCAGATTATGTTCTTTAGTAAACTAAATACAGTATTAAATAATTCCCTACATTTGAATACTGTTTTACATTTCACAAAGGCTTTCACAAACCTTCTGTGTCATCTAAGCCTCACAATAAGTTTATGAGGAACAAGGGTAAATTTTGTTACTACTCCTGTTTTACAAACAAGGAAACAGAGGGTTGGCCAAAAATAAGGGGATCTTGATTAGTAGGTAAGTTAAAACTGAGAGCAAGGATATGAACTCACATCTTCTGACTATTGTCCATGAATCTGGTACCACTACATTTTTCCATTTTACTATAATATTTCTTCCTCACTCTCTATGTCCATGTACACTATTGTACCTATTTGAAATTTTCTAGAGTATCTAAAGCAATAAGGGAAGAGTGATTAGAACCATGATGGCCTACAGTCAAAAGCACTAGGGTTATTTTTCTCCACTGACTATCCATAATGGCTTAATGAGAACAAGAACAGCTGTGTGGCAGCTAGAGAGCAGGTTTCCATATCTGGATGGCAATGAAACCCTTATTTCTTTGTGTTAATGAAATATTGCACCTTCAATTTCATGTACATTAAGGCAGCTTTTAATGATAACAGCAGTAATAATTGGTAAGGTTTAATTAACCAGTATGTGCACTATTGTATACTGCTATCAAATGTAAAAGAACACCTCTTGAGAGATAATGAAAATCTCTAACCTCATGCTGCTTTGGTGACCATCTACCTACTCTGCCTAGTGATGTGTTCATTATTAATTTCAGCTCTTTTCTAAAGCCTTTTTGTCTTTTTCCATGCTGCTCTTAATGCCTCCAAAAGAGTTTCACCTTTCTATCCACAGCAGGTGTTCTCTCTTCCTCCTAGAGCAACATGTTTTCTATGTATCTTCTTAGAAAATGTACAAATAAGTTAAACTTTTCTATTCAATTTTGGAAGAAACCTATAATATTTCATAGAAGAAAGCCACCCAAAGCTTCTAGACATTTATTGTCTCCATTTTTTCCACTATTCATGTCACATACACATACACACACATACCCTTAATATCTGAAAATATCCTGTCCAGAGATAAGCAAATAATATATTGGGTGGCAACTCAGGCAGACACTTAGGTTTCAAACTAATTCCACATAACTTGGAGCATATTATTCATGTTTTGTGAGATTTCTTCATAAAATGAGCATAATACGGCCAGGCATGGTGGTGGATGCCTATAATCCCAGTCGTTAGGGAGGCTGAGGCAAGAGGATTGCAAGTTCAAAGACAGCCTCAGCAACTTAGTGAGGCCCTAAGCAACTTAGTAAGACCCTGTCTGTAAGTAAAATATAAAAAAGTGCTGGGGATGTGGCTCAGTGACTAAGTGTCCCTGGGTTCAATCCCTAGTACAAAATAAAAAGAAGAAGAGAAAAAAAGCATAATACTTTACAGAGCCATTGCAGAGATTATATGCCATAGCTTATAAATATAAAATTACAAGGCATTATCAATATTATTCCTAGATTCAAACAGCTTGCTGGTGACTCTTTTAGGAGATATTAGAAAAGATATAGTGCTACCATACCATGTTGTACAATCCTAGAAAGGTATTATTCCCATAATATTCTATGTAAATGATTGGTAAGATGAGTTATCAGTTCTGAATTTAAATGGCCTCATGATGAATGAGGAGTCCTAAGAATAAGCAATTTCTGAAGTTAAATACTTGTAATATCTAATGCACATCATTTAGAGTGAGTAATGCTAATGAAAACACTGATACTTTATTTTGGTAAACAAATGAGTATAAACAGAATTCTAATTAACTCCAATTGCTATTGGTCTTTTCTATATTATCCACATCTCTCATTTCTGCTTCCTTTCACTAGTCTTTCACTCATTATTTTATAACTACAATATTTGAGGAAACACCTATATCTAAAGGAACAACAATGATTTAGATTACATACTTATCTTCCAGAAAATTTGTTTCATAAGAACTTAATATTTGAAAGTATCAAGGGAAAGAGAGGAGAGAATAAATAGCCTGGAAGCAGGATATTTGAAAAAAATAAATAGTAAAATGAGGCCAAAAAAACAAACTACATAATTTATTAGAGCTCTCAAGTAGAGACAACATCTAAGATTACCCTCCTATTAAAACTGCTAGCAGTAAAAATGGGAGTTCATAACCCACTTGAATCTAATGTATGAAATATGATAAAAAAAAAACTGCTAGCAGTCACAACACCAATGTCTTGATACCATTCTTTTTATAGATGCAGGAAGAACTAGCTTAGTAAGAAACTAAGCTAAAACAGTCATGGATGGACTGAAAGAAAAGAGTTGACAAAGAAAATGGAGTGAAGGATATATGAGTAAGGATGAAAATAAGTGGCACAGACACTATCAATGGGAAAAATCAAACAGAAGGGCTAAACCCTTTCAGTTAACAAAATTTTATTGAACATATGCTCAAAAAAACAGGTACAACACTAGGTTTAAGAAATAAAGAGAAGGGAAATTTCAAAATCCCTCTCAGTCTGTTGTGAGTTTATTCCCCTTCTAATCCAATGACCATATTGGTACCTAGAAACCAGGTACTCTTACAAGATAGTTTACAGAGATAAACACAACAAGTACAGTGGTCCTTTTCCTCATGGGGCTTCCAGTCTAGTGGTAAAAAATAATTTATAAATTAACTTTAATGTGATTAAGGCTATTTTTTAAAGTGTTATAGAGGCCAAAAGAAAAAAAATCAATAAATCCTAGCAAAAGATGGAGAAAGGGATGGCATGGAGAAATAGCTAAAGGTTTCACAGAACAGCTAACACTGAAAGCCAAGTTAAGAACTTTTCCAAATATAAATAAAACTTCAGTAAATACTGAAAAGTGATATCCTGGGCAAAACACTTCTCTAGAGATCCAAATTCTAGTTATTAAATAACTGGGACCCTTTAAAAATTTATGTCATTTCTATAAGAGAGCTCCATTTGGTTTTTCAATATTGAACAACTAAACTTGTGGCTTGAATATAATAAATATACAGGGATAATCAAAATCAGGGTTTAGCAAACTACCGCCTACAGACAAAATCTGGCTTACTACCTATTTTTCAAATAAAACTTTACTAGAATGCATATATATTTGTTTATATATTGTTGTCGAAGGTTAAGTTAAGTAGTTGCAATGGAGACCACATGATGTACAAAGTGGAAAATTCTTATTATATGATTCTTTACGGAAAAAGTTTACAAATTCTTGCTCTTAATATAAAACAAAGCATACTTTATACTTAGAAAAAGTGAATTATAAATTTGTATGTACATAAAGATTCTTTAGAAAATATAATTGTATCATCATTTGCATAAAAATGCACTTCTACATATTACTACATGTAATGCTTATTGTACTATACATAGATAATAATAAAGTCATTGAATGAAAAATGATTGAAGTACAGCAGGGGTAACATAGGAATAACATCAATCACGAATGGATGTACTTTGGCAATAATCAAAAATAAATAAATAAGGGAAAGAAAGATCGGTAGAGTAAAGGAAGGAGAATAGGAGGAGGCAGGAAAGGAGAAAAAGTAGGAGGGAACAGGGACTGAAATGACGTAAATAAAACTCCATACATATATGATTTTCTCAAAATGTACCCAACTACCACAAATAACTAGAATCTTCTAATAAAAAAATAAATGTGCTTTAGCATTGTTCTGGTAGGAATTTTTATTTCAGTGATTTGCATGTTTATTTAAATAGACAATCTCTACATGAAGGCTATAAGCCACTTCCTCTTAAAACAAACCTTTATACTATAGGGAGAATTACAGAAAAATACACATTTTTAGACAGTGTCTTTTTAAACAATGGCATAATTACTGGATTTCAGTAATTGTTATTATTTACACATGGTGTCCCTGAAAAGCTCACATGTAAGACAATGTGAGAGTATTCAGAGGGGAAATGATTAGGTTGTGAGAGCCTTAAACTAATCAGTGAATTAATCCCTAGTGGATTTAATTGAGTGGTCAGATCTTTTAGTCACAGCAGCAAAAAAGCTGACAAAAACAGAAATAAATGCTGAGTTTTCTACGTCCTTTGTTAGGCTGCTGGTTAAAACCTTGTACACTCTTTAGAGAACATGAACATAAAGAATATGCTCCAAAAGTATCTATGGGTATGCTTTTGAGATATAAGTTAGAAGTAACTAAGAATCAGCAAATCATATCATATTTTGATTTGAAAGAACAGGCATTACTGATATTATGACAAGAACAGCAGTACCAATGTTATGGTTTAGATATTAGGTTTCCCCGCCAAAACTTATGTGTGAGACAATGCAAGAAGTTTTAGAGGAGAAATGATTGGGTTATGTGAGCCTTAACCAAATCAGTGAATTAATCCTCTGATAGGGATTAAACAACTGGTAACTGACAGTGGGTGTGACTGAAGGGGGAGGGGGGGGGGGGGGGGGGGGGGGGGGGGCCTTGGGTATATATTTTGTATCTGGTGAGTGAGGCTTCTTTCTCTGCTTCCTGATCATCATGTGAGCTTCTTCTCTCCACTATGATGTTCTGCCTCACCTTGAGCCCTAAGGAATGGAGCCAACTGTCTATGGACTGTGACCTCTGAAACCATGAGCCCCCAAATAAACTTTTCCTCCTATAAAATTGTTCTTGTTAGGTCTTTTAGTCACAGCAGTGAAAAAGCTGACTAAAACAATCAACAATCGCAAAAATCCAAATTGCAAAACAGAAGACTAAAGAAAAATTTACAAACGATAATTTATGAAAAGAATACATTTTCATATTCAACCATGGCTCCCATAGAAGAAATACGATGCTACTAGTAGGACATTAGAGTTCACAAACTGAAGAAAAATACTCACTTGTTTTACATTTTCAGCTAAAAAGACAATATAAACGCTGCAGAATCCCAGCTGTGTTATCACCAAAAAAAAGTCAACCATACTCCTAAAAGAGATATCCACAAATAAGTATCAGTAAAAGCTAGTGAAAACTTAATATATGTTAATCTCTCTTTTAAAATATTTTATATATTTTACCTCTTTAAATTAAAAAAAAATCAAATATTTATTTCCTACACATTTATTTACTATCAATATATCACTAGAATTATTATAGAGTTTGATGGAAATTAAGTTAAAAGCCCAATATTTTTATATCATTACCTGTTTCTGAAATTTAACATTTTAAGGAAATCTACTTATAAAATGATTTCATGAAAAATATTTATCTTTCAAATTAAGCCCATCTCTCCTACTTCTCAAGATCTTTCTCAGATTATGGCCCACCCTTTCTAACTTTTTCTCAGAGTATGGCCCACCCTTTCTAACTTCACATCATTTGAAAATATGATGAACATGCTTGTTACTATCCAAATTACTAATAAGAATACAGAATGTAAGAGGATTAGGAATAGAGCCCTAAGTAATAACATAAGAAACCTTTCCAGTAACTTTTCTCCATTCTTATTATTTAGTGAGATGCTCTAGAAAGTTTTACTTTGTAAATAGTATACACAATTTGGGAAAGAATATTACCAGAGACATTAAGCAAAGTGGGTATTATTGGGAGTTTTAAAGTTACAAATTTACCTACATATTGTTAATTTATACCCCATATTTCATTTTTGATCTAGAAATAATGAGTGACTACTATAGCATGCACTTATTAATTCATTACAGTCTCTTCTCTGACCATCAATGTTAACAATGTTTTAAAAAATCTGTATTTTTCTTCTTCCATCTAAAACTGGAAGGTCCTTGCGTGTTTTCATTCTTGTTATAACTCCCATTCTCCATGGCTCTTCAGGGATCTTATTTATAATTTATCTTGTAACCATGAACTGTAACCATGAAATGAATTCAAGTTTCTTTTCTACCATGAATTATATTAGAAGTGTTTTAAGTATTCCATTAATATCTTTTCATCCACCTTTGATTTTAGTGTACCACCAACAAGCATTTCAGCCACTTCTATCTAAAAGCCATTCTTCATAGAACAGGGGGGAAAACCTGTCTCTAGTCTGGGCCAGAAGAAAGATTTATTTGGTATTCTAGCTTCTGGAGGCAAGTCCCTAGATTGTTAGATTGTTTCTTCCTTCCACTTGTAAATTAGGAACACTGAGAACTTCATAAACAAATCTAACTTTCTGAAAATCTCCAGAAAGGCTACATTAAACCACAGGCTACTCTACTAACACTGCTTTTTCTTTTCTGATAATTCCCATGACTCATTGGTACCATAGTTAGCACTCTGTTGATCACTTATACTTCCTTACTCTATTCCTATATTCATCTAGCTTATATTCACTGTGTCCACCAATGGGTACATTTAAATAATAAGACAATAAAATAAGTTTATGTTAAAATGTACTGAAACATGAGATGTCTTATGCACAGCTTTATTTGAAATAATGAGGTTGTCATATTTTTCTCCTTTGTTGAAAAATTATTGAACATGATTATGTCATTGGCTGGCTTGATGCTTTGTAAATAAAATTTTATTTAATCTACTACAATAATTCTGTAAAGTATTATCATAAATTCACTTCATAGTGAAAAAGCCAAACCAAAGATATGAATAATTAGACCAAGACCATAAAACGGATAATAGTAGAGTTGAGATTTGACCCATATCTAACTCTAAAGGTTATTTATTTTGATCCCTCAACTTTTATTATACTTTTGTTTATGTGTTTTATCAGACTGAAACACTTACACATGAATATAATTTGAACAACTAGACACTAAAAACATAGCAAGTACTTACCGTCCCCATGCTGCTTGCTTCTGAAGACAACTCCAAGGACTCACTTCCATAGCGAAACTCACAGTGTCACTATAACCTAATGTTGACTTTTTAAACCTGTAATCCAATGACATGCAGACACAGGAAGAAGAAAAATATTAAGTTGGTCCATAAACCATTCCTTACAAAGAACATCAAATAAATGGGAATTAATAAATGTAAGGCTATGCATTGATAGGATTTTCAAAATTTGAAAATCTGCACACTCCTAAACACACCTCATGAAATTTTAAAATCTGATCTGTCCTTTTCTCCAGCAAATAAATTTTCACCTACTGCTAAAGAGAGAGAGTGAGACAGAAAGAGAGACAGAGAGTGTGTGTGTGTGTGTATATCAGTAGAATTCAGAAAACATATTAGTACTTTGCTAATTTAAATGTTTCAAATACTTAAAAACATCAACTATACTGTACATATCTAAACTATTACACTTTTAGAACATTATTTAATAATATATCTGTACAGAGCTGTACAATATATTTTTTTTAATTTTTTATTGTTGGTTGTTCAAAACATTACAAATTTCTTGATATATCATATTTCACACTTTGATTCAAGTGGGTTATGAACTCCCATTTTTACCCCATATACAGATTGCAGAATCACATCAGTT